GATATACTAGTCTAAAAATGCAAAAAACGAACAAATTTTGGCATCAATAGATTCAGCATTTCATCGTGTACCTCAAACCGTCCATCATTTGGCCTCAAAGGAGGTAAAAATTGTTCAAAATCGAAGTTGAAAAGATGCTTTCTGAGCACATAATCTGGTAGCAATCACGTGACCTGCTATAAGCAGCTTATCGATAATTTACAAACATAATTATTAATATGCTGCTTTAAACATCATTAATCATACATTTTGAGCTTTCAGTACTTTAAATAAGGTCAAAACATCGCAAAACACAAAAGTTAATACAATAGTCACGTGGGTGTCAGGAAATGTCACAGGTGCGTCAAATTTGTGACTGGGGCTTTACTTTCAAACATCGGATCTACCTGTTTCTTATAGGTATCTTGGGTGCGGGTCACTCAACATAGAGTGCATTTTTTAATTTGGATAAAACCCGAAAACCAATAAACTCGCAACCCGCATGCGAGGTCCAGTGTGGGGCGGCCTTAAGCCGTCATTTAGAGCCTCTGGATGGCAAAATTGTCTTTATTATTATTACTAACTTGAATAAGTGAAATAACCTCTAGCAAGGATACTCTTCTGTGACCTTGACCCTTGAGCATCCTTGTGTCGTAAGATGAACCACAAATAGGGACCTGATAACCCTCAAAACATTTCAGCATGACCTTGACCTTGATTTTGAGCACATTTTCAGAATCCTCAGATTCTCTTCTTTCGTTTGTCCTCCAATTTTGCCGTTTTTTTTGCCGCCTACCGTCCTCCAGAATCCTTACTTTGAGATCACTTCACACTTGCCGATTTTTTCCTTTGACCTTGACCTCTGACCTTAAGAATTGACATGAAGTCAAATTTTTAGGTGCTTTAGAATCGTCTCGTAAGGGCCTTTTGTTTGATATCACTTTTGCTTCCGTAGCCCCCTTATTTACGGAGTTAGGGGGCGAAAACGCCCCCCCCCCCTGGGCTGCGATGGTTGGGATTACCCCCCGTGGGCCCGGCCGGGGTAATGTTGCCTGCTTCTGTTACCTAATACTGTTTTGTATAAACTGTTACACAATTGGAAGATGCCTTTGTAAGTTGTAACTCATATTCCATCCATTGAGTTAAATCCCAAAACTCGATTAGTCGATAATCAAAATGGAACATTTGTTCAACACTAAATGACATGTTAATAAAGGAGTCAACGTGTTACTAAAACATAAAAATCGAGGAAACAAACTTGCCTAATGGATGACCAATCCCAGCAACAAAAACCTCTTGAACTGTACTAAGTTTGTACTCTCGAAAGTAACATACGTCACCAACCCCTTGACCCGTGATAAGAAGGTACGCACTTTTAAAACTAGGACAAATACCACACTTAAAAGCTTGACAGTGGCTCGTTGACGAAAAGGTCCTATCAGTGGCCCAGTACGAGTGGGGTTATAGGGAAGGGTCTGTCGCTCTTGACCACACATCAGGTGTTCGCTGGTGGTGAGTTTTACATTGGACCACATCTGGTCATCAGCTGCGCCCCCCGCCGGCCGCAAGCTCTACAGATGTGCTTACACCACTTGTGGTCGCACAATGGCGGCGTTCTCTTCGCTGAACCGGCATTCAGTGAGGGCTTGAGCTTCTCTGCCTTGAGAAATGAGAAGTGTGGTTTGGGGTACTTGTGGTGAAAAATAGCACACACTTTGTTGGCGATTGATAAATCGGGACAATGTCAGAGCTGGTCACTTAGCCGATAAGTTAGGCTCTAATGCAGTTATATTACACCAAGCAAACACAAATGGCATGAGATACAGACGACACAGTGTAGGCATTGTTTTGTTTGTATGCCTATGTATGGACTATTCGTTTTTTCGACACAAATGAAGTCACATTGGCATTCCACCAATATCTGACCTGGGTATTTATTTGAAATTCATTATTCACTTGCGCGCAAACTTGTAACTTCCTGTGAGGCACAGGGGCGGTCGCAGACTTGGAGTTTGGGGGGGGGCCAACTTGGCAAAGGGGCCCCTGCGCTGACCCGGGGGGCCCGGTGCTAGCTTAAAGGGGCCCACGGGCGTAGTGCACGGGTGCAGAAATCTAGGCCATGGCCGGTTAAGCGGGGGGGGGGGGGTAGGGAGCGGCACCCGAGCGGGAGGCTCATTGAGAGCTTTGAGGGTGCACCGTGTCGAAAAGGTACCGAAAAGTGCATTTTGAAGCATTGATTATGTCAATAATTCACGCACCTGTGAATGGACTACCGCAAAAGTAAAAGCGGCTAACTTTGCCATTTTCTTTGCAAAAAAAAGCTTTGCCATTTTTTAAGATCATCGTGCTAAAACTTTTAACAGTGGGTCATCGGTATCTATTCACTGTTCAATCGGTCGGAGAGGCCATCGTAACCAAGCGTTTTCTATCACATGTGTTCCGACTTCCGTTTAATTTTTTTTTTTAATTGACCACAAATGCAAATTTTGAAGACCATTACAGTAGCAAATGCTTCGAAAGACGGATAGTGGGCAAAATATCCTAAATTTGTCGTGCTGCATGGAAAGTAGTGTTGCTGAGGAAAGGTGGTTTTGTTCCAGATTATTGTGGATGCAGAATACATTGTCTGCACTCACTGCAGAATTATTGTTGGTGCAACTGCGCCCACTGCACCCATGGTTCCTACACTTATGGGCCCATCGATAGCGCTTCGGCGATACCTATCGCCTAGAGGCTGCAATGGGGCCCTTAGTGTACGGTGTCAGACCCCCAGAGGCCGGCGTTGGACCCAAGGGTCAGCGAAGGGCCTCAAAGGCCCCAGGTAGGGCCCCAGAGGCTGATGTGGGCCTTCATAAACAAGTGCGTGACGCCAAAAGGTAAGGCTTGAGCCCCCCCAGAGAACATAATAGGGCCATCAGCGGCCGGTGTAGAGACCTCATAGGCCAGTTTGCGGGCCCCTCAGAGGCTAGTGTGGGGCCTCAGGTGTCGCTATGAGGCACTTAAAGACCGGTATGGGTCCTCAGAAGCCGGCATCGATCCTTCAGAAGCCAGTACGGGGCCCTCAGAGGCACATAAGGGCAGTTTCGGTCCCAGAGACAGAAATGGGACCATCAGAGGCCGGTGTGGGTCGTGGGACCTTTAGAGGCTGGTTTGGGCTCTTAGGGGCCAGTTTAGAGCCCTCAGAGACCAGTACAGGGCCTGCAAAGGGCAGTTTGAGACCATCAGAGACCGAATTGGGCACTCAGAGGCTAATATGGGTCCTTACAGGCCAGCATGGAGCCCTCAGAGGTTAGGGTGGGGCCCTAAAAGACCGACATGGGCCGGCGTTGGACCCCAGAGGCCAGAAGAGGGCCCTCAAAGGCCAAGATGGGCCCTCAGACTAGGCCGATGCGGGCCCTTAGAGGCCGGCATCAGGTCTTCAGAAGCCCGTGCGGGGCCCTCAGAGGCTAAGGTGGGTCCTTACAGGCCAGCACGGGCCCTCAGAGGTCAGTGTGAGGCCCTAAAAGACCGGCATGGGCCGGCGTTGGACCCCAGAGGCCAGCAGAGGGCCCTCAAAGGCCAAGATGGGCCTTCAGAGGCCGATGCGGACCCTTAGAGGCCAGCATCGGGTCTTCAGAATCCAGTGTGGGGCCCATAGAGGCTAATGTGTATCCTTACAGGCCAGCATGGGCCCTCAGAGGTCAGTGTGGGGCCCTAAAAGACCGGCATGGGCCGGCGTTGGACCCCAGAGGCCAGCGGAGGGTCCTCAAAGGCCAAGATGGGCCCTCAGACGCCGATGCGGGCCCTGAGCGGCCGGCATTGGGTCATCAGAATCCAGTGCGGGGGGCCCTCAGAGGCTAATGTGGGTCCTTACAGGCCAGCATGGGCCCTTAGAGGTCAGTGTGGGGGCCTAAAAGGCCGGCATGGGCCGGCGTTGGACCCCAGAGACCAGCGGAGGGCCCTCAAAGGCCAATATGGGCCCCCAGAGGCCGATGCTGGCTCGACATCGGGTCTTCAGAATCCAGTGCGGGACCCTCAGAGACACTTAAAGGCTAGTCTTGGGACTCGAGAGACGGAAATGAGGCCACCAGAGGCCGGTGTGAGGCTCTCAGACGCCGGTTGGGCCCCTGAGGCCGGTTTAGGGGCCCTCAAAGGCCAGTGGAGGGCCCTCAGAGGTCAATACGGGTCCTCAGCGGTCAAGGTGGACGCTTGACCGCCACTGAAGGGCCCTCAGAGGTCAGTGTAGGACCCTCAAAGACTGGTATGGGAGCTGTTAATAGCTGGCGTGGGTTTCTCGAGCCTCGTGACAATCGAATACGGGCCAGGGCCCCATACGGCCATGGGGGCCCATCGGTTGTTTGGGGGGGGGCCAAATGATATGATGGCCCCCCTGATTTGCCTTTGGGGGGGGGCCATGGCCCTGATGGCCCCCCCCCCCCCTGCGACCGCCACTGGTGAGGCACTTATATGATGTTTGTTTTTATTCCCTATCTTTTGCGGAGTGGTAGTCTGCGCACTTATTCGGCACTCGGCACTCGGGTACGGAGGTGTGTCAAGACGTCTATCTGTCGTGTTTTCACTTCAGGTTATTGCGTTCGAGATTCCCGGTTTTAGGAGTTCGTCTGCAGAACACTTGACTTTTCTCCCCACTCACATACAGCTGAGTCATCGTGTCTACGAAAACAATCAGTGTGCTGGCATTTTATTGTTTTGCAGTTTGATGGATGCTATGAAAACGCCCCTTTCGAATTTATAGGTACCTATTGTTTTGTTGTTTTATGGTAAATGATAATTATATTACCGTGTGTTATGTATAATGTATCGATGATAACCGGGGGCACTATGTAACGACCTTACCGTCCTTGTAACGTCGTCATATTTGTAACCTTGCCCTTGTCACCTTGTACCGTTGCTCTCTAACAAACCAACAAACAAAATGTGTATCTCAGCTATTCTCTCAGTTCTCACCGCCATACGCTTAGGCACGCGTCTGAGGTCTCTCTCCCACCTTCTCACTGACCCGTGCTGCCCTCTGCCGTCAGGCCAACATCCAGTCCATCATGGCGTCTGAGCAGCAGGTGGCAGCACTGATGTCCGTCATCCAGCGGGCTGTCGACGAGATATCGGCCGTCGAGGAGCGCCTCGAACAGTACGACCACGCGCTGGTGGCCGTCCGACAGAGTCTCAAGGAGATGGGACGGGAGAAGAGCAAGATGGAGGTCACCCAGAGGAATCATCACGAGCTCCTGCAGACGCTGGATAGCATGCTGGTGAGATGGGTGAACGAAGAGCGGGGTGGGTGTCGGCAAGGCCCTAAAATAAGGCCGTAGGGTGTAGTTCCATGTGTGATAGACTGCGGTTTTTGGTTCCCTCTGGCGTGGTTCCCTAGTCGCAGGCCGCGGCTGCTTCGTTGTGATGTGGCAAGATAGTTAAAATCCAAACAGAAACTTGCGTTTTTAGTTTTACAGGAGCCAGAAGATGCATTTTTTTGTATGGTAAGGTCCTTCCGGCCTGACGAGACCTTTTCAGAGCAGAAAGAATGATAGGAATTAGGCCAGAGATTGGTCTTGGCGGCACCCTGGTGCACCGTCGGGGTGGGGTCCGTCACAATGGACGGGCCAGTTAGGTAGCCCTGCTAACGGTCACCGCACCGTACGATGGACTTGCTCTAGAGGAGCTACTCAGTACTCACGTCGGATGAAGATGATCGTCCAGACCGGATCATGAATTTTGAGACGTGGAGGAAAAGGATTCGCCTACCCTTAGGGTGGAAAATGATGGAACGATCGAGATACGTTTACAAGTCGTGGATTAAATGTTGCATACAATACTCTTTACCTAAGTTTTCAGCGTCTCTAGCAGTCCCTGTCTCATTGATCACCACGGTGTCTCCTCTCACGCGCGTCTCTCCCTCGCCGCTGTACCTAACCCGCCGTGTGTCTGTCTCTGTGTCCTCAGCCGGACCTGTCGACCAGAGACCGCCAGGTTCTCTCCGACCCTGACCTCACCACCACAGTGGGTCTGAGAGAGGCCTGCCAGGCGGCCCAGTCTCTGCTGAGACTGTCGTCAACCTCAGTTGACGGAAACCTACAGCAGATGGCAGCAGTGGCCGAGCAGAAGAAGCTCTTCGAGAAACTCAAGGCTCGCTTCTCGCAGGCCGTCTACAGGCAGATGAATAACTTCTTTGTACACATGGTGGGTTTGGAGAGGATAGCCGGGTATAAGCTATTGAATGTATTGGCTTTTAACGATTTTAGCATGAAACCTTCCCGTTACCTTTTCATAACTTTGGTGTTTCACATGACCCCAGTAGGCGATGGTAATGGGATACCAGTGGATGACGCATCTTTTTATATTTTTTCAGGAGTAGTACAATTTAAAATGTCGCATGCACTACAACTGTACTGTACTGTAGTTAGTTTTGTGTGCTCGCCGACTATCCCAACTGCTGAACACTGCTGACCTAAATGTCAAACTTTTCTTTAAAGCTAGGAGCGAGTTATTTATTTCAGTGACATTGGACTGGGCTTACATCGCTCCCAAGCATCTGCGCATGACAATTGCACCAACTTTTTACAAAACTGTTTGTGTACTCTGGCTTTCTCGAAGGCAAACTATGGCATGCACATTGCACACAGCTGCACGGAATCGGAATCACTTGGCGCTCAGGAAGCTGGGCTTTCGAACGATGGCTTTTAACCCGTTCCAACCGGATTCTAGCTTTGCTAGTTCGGTACCTGATGCTTGGGCTCATTTCCATGAGTTTCTAGTCCTTTTTAATGTGGTGGGGGATAAAAATCCGTGAACTGGTTTATGCAAGCCTTGCAACAGCTTGTGGGTCACGTACGTTTGTTTAGCATTCGTCCAGAGTCCATTCTGACCGTTATTGGCGTGACCAGACTGCATGTGTCTGCCACACTTATCGGATATCACGGTTTGCTTTTAGAGTCTGTTTACATCGACCGGTCGATTCTGATTTGTTTTGGATGTCGGCTCATCTGTCGGGCGCAGGCTTGTCATGGGGACAGTTCGGCAGTATACAAACACATTTATTCCACGACCCCGAACGGGGATTCGTTTCCACGGCAACCGACGCCTAAGTTACTGCCTGGCTGCGGCAGCAGAGGCGCCGATCTGGTGGACCAGTGTGAAAACTTGATAGTGTCCGCGGCCCTGGACGGTACTTTGTGCTACTAACGCATTCTTAGCAATGCATTGCAATGGTGTGGTCGTAGAGAGATTATAAAACTTGCAGTTAAATCCTTATCGCTGACAATTGTTTTTACCATTGTTAATTCATTCAGTTATACCTGTACCCTTTTAAGTATCCCTAGCACTCTTCCCCTTCACATCCTCCCCAACATCCTTACCCCACGCTATCCTCTCAGAAAATCCCCAGAGAACGACTTCATCCTACCCCTACCTCTCTGAAACCTGACCCAGCCGTCCGAGCTGCATCCTACCGCTGGGTAGGCCCGCCGGGACCGGCCCGGCCGGTCGATCGGCTCCTGGACCGCTGGACGGCCCCCGGGACGGTAGCTCGCGGTCACGGCCGGGCTCAGCCCGGTCAGGATACCGGGAAGACAGACTATGGTCACGGTCAGTTAGGGTCACGGCTAGACAGGGGAAGGCATGGTCCGGTCATGGTCAGTTCACGGTCACGGATAGATAGTAGACAGACGCTGGTTACGGTTTAATCACGGTCACGGCTAGATATGTAACAGTCGCTCACTCAACTCACGGACAGGGCTAGACAGACCCTATTCGTTGCTTCTGATAGTTAAGTCACGATCATTCATGATCACTCAGCCTGACGCATGCCCACAGATTGTGCATCTCAACTCTCAAGAGTCCCTAATTAGTGCTAATCTCCTCGATTAGCGTTCAGGTGGAGACTGATAAGTCGGATTGAGCTGACTGGGAACAGTGTTTCTCGCAGATATACCGTCGTTGTTCCGTGTGTAGCGGTGTGTAAGAGCGTGGTGCGTATATGTAATTGTATCGCCCGTGTCAAATGGGGCCGGTACCCGCATGGGCTTACTCAAATAGATGGACAAACTTAGGCTTTCGATGTACGTTTAAACAGTATCCAGATCGCTCATTTGTACTGGGCATTACATTTCGTGTGGGCACGTAAATCACCCCAGTGAAATGGGCCTCTTTGCACGTAGTAGATAACATACAAATGACGTGTGAATGCTACGGCTGGAATTCATTTCCCAGTTCAAACGACGAAAAGTTCCGGAGTTTCAAATTCTTGGCGGAGGCTGTTTCAGGAGTTATTAAGAATAGCATACTCGTGGATGGTAGCTGGATGTGGTACGCAAATGTTTTGTTATTTCAGATGCACTGTTTGGAATTTTAGGTCGCGTTAGGAGTAGGAGGAGTTCGTAAAACCCTGAGTCGGTGCTGCAAGGACAGTTTTGGTAAATGCTCAGCCAATACAAATCAACAAGCTCAACTACTATGAACAACGGGTAGTAAATGCAAGGAACCTCATGCATTGAACTCATACAATGAACCTCAAGCAACGGTTTTCCTGAGACGAATTAGTACATGTTATCTATCGTGCCAAGATCAATGGCCAGCTAACATTCTCTAATCTAAACACATTAGCTCCATTCCTTTTTTTACTCCTCCCTTCTGATCGCATTACGTGGCCGCGGTTTTTTTCGGACATAAAAAACATCTGATGCCGGCGCGTCTGATAGTCTCCGGCCCCATAGGCCAATCGCCATCACAGCGGCTACGGTCACGTACCGCGGAAATGGCGGCCGACGTTCCGACGTCTGAGACGGACGGCGGTGGCGACCGCAGCGTCCTGAACGTGCTGTACGATAGTAGAACCTCACCTGACCTCCGCCCTTTGTAACGTCCTGATCTTCGCACTTCCTCGACCTTAGCCATTTCCAGAACAGTCAGTCTTGAAAGCACCGCGCATCGGTGCGGTGGATCCATCAAGCCTGACCGAGTAAGTGCTGCTATAATTTGAGGGTCACCAAACCAACTGACCTGGGGGTATGGATGAGAATGTTAGTTGGTTCGATGACTCAAATTTAGCAGCCTTTCCACGGTCGGGCTTGATGGATCCACCCAACCGATGCGTGGTACTTTCAAGACTGACTGTACATTGGCCACTGATGATACTGCATATGCATTTACCCTTGATGATATTTCATTCTTGATCCATGATTTGACCCGTGACGTAGCCCATTTTCCGATTCATGACCTTTTACTAATACTTACATGTTTCTTGTCCTGACGTGTGGTATCCCGTCTGTTTTCCTTCTCTGACCTGACCCCTGACCTTCTGCTGCCTTTGCCATTAATATCACCTTTAAGGGTTGTGTGACGACCGTTGCGGTGCATTCAGCTCGCGATCATAATTAGTAATTGACATTACTCAGATTTCGACCACTGGACCCTGACCTGTGACCCCTGTGCTGACCACTGACCTTGACCCCTGTGCTGACCTCTGACCTCCACCACCAGGGTAACGACGGTGCTCCGCCCGCTGACCCGCTGACCCTGACCCCCTGTGCTGACCTGTGTCCCCACCGTCAGGGCAACGACGGCGCGCCGCCGGTGGACTCTCTGCAGCTGCCCAGCCACAGCTCACAGCACCTGAAGCTGCAGCCCTACTCGGAGCTGATGCACTGGACCAAGGCGGTCGACAACAGGCAAGTGGTCCGATGATTCCGTGGAGTGAGGAGTCAAGGGATGGGTTGATATCAGTATCCCACACAATATTATCACAACATATCTCATCACAATAGCAGGGAAGTTTTGTGATCTGTGTTGGACTCTGTGCGATGTGAGTAAGGGCCTTGGTGTGTTGTTATCAGCCCATGCAGTCTCCAAATCTTTTCCCTTTACCCACCGACTTCTCATATGCTCCTTCTTGTTATGTTTACATTTACTGAAACTCAAAGGTATGAATCTGAAGAGTACGTAAGAGACTTGTTCGCTGAGAGCTTAGCCTTTGCGATGATGTTTTTTTTTTTTTAGAGCAACCGCTTTTGTTGAAAATGCCATTGTAAGGCCGGAGAGCTAGTTTACTCGTCAGAGTAATATGGCGGATAAAAACAGCAATCTTGCCTCCCGTATTTTTCTTTTGTGAGCTTGTTTTGATCAAGTGTCACGTCAAAGAAATGACACAGCCCACCAGTTTTGTCTCCGTTCGCGAAGACCTCGTTCTTCACCGGCGTTGGCGATGGCCGTCTTTTCTGCTCTTTTTTTGTGGTTGTGTTACCATATTTCTGATATTCCTTTTTTCTTCTAAATTCCACATAGCGGAAAATAGGTACGCTATTACAAACAAATAAAGTCGTGTTTTTCAGCACCTGCGACTGATTTTATGCTAACCTCTGACGCGGCGCAGTTCATCCTTTATTCTGTCCGCGTGTCTCTGCCGTTATTCTTTCCTGGCGCTGCGGGACGCTGGCCCGGCCGGTGCGTGTTTCTCGGCGGTCGTGTTTTCGCTGCTCTGACCGCCGAGCGTCTTATTGAATCGGTCTCAACTGGGCGCCGGGCGGGCAGCAGGGCGTTCTGCAGCGAATGGCAAGTGGCCCCGGGGTGGGAGATTTAATGTCAGGAGGCGCGTACCCCGTGCTGCCGGTATCGAACTTTCTGATGGTGTTTGGTAGTGTTGGTGGTAAGCTATTTGATATGGTTATGATTTGGTGCTGCGGTTTGGTGATCATGTTTTGTCGGATTTGCTCAAGCGCAAGACTATCTCGAGTTAGGCTGTTCGATCCTATAGTATAGATAAGAAATAGTTACGTTGCTTAGTCCCTGTTCTTATGCCGTCGTTTCACGACATTGTAAAAGGTGTCGTATCACTAGTCCTGAGCCTGCTCTTCGCCATCCAGCTCAACTCCTGCTGTTCTGTTCGAGGATCGCTCGCTAGTCCTTAACCCGCGCATGACTGGGGGGGGGGGGGCTGTACAGAGCCCCATCATGTTTTTCAGCAATATCTTCTAAACCGTTTGACGGATCAACACGAAACTTGCGGTACCCTCAGAGGCATCAATTTGAAACCTTGTGCTAAAATTTCAACTTTCTAGCTACCATAGTTTAGCCGGAAATGACGTCAAAGTGACGTCATGTCGGCCGATTTTCATGCAAAATACTGAAATACGGCAAACGCTCTCAAGAGCTCAGTTTTAAAGCTAGATCCATTTTCTTTGCTTGAGTTGACTACAAATACACGTAGCTATCGAACTGCTATCTCGAATTTTCGAAATTTTAAAGATTTTGAAAAATATTAATTTACAATTACACAAATATATTTTTTGATTTTTTCAAAAAGTTTTTGACTTTTCGCAAAAACCGGAATGTATGTGATAGAACACACACTGATGAGCTACATTTGCAAGTTTTAGCCCAATATCTTCAAAAATAGCCAAGTTATTCGCATTATTGTCAAAATTTTACAATTTTATGTTTTTTTCAAATCCATTTTTTTCAGTACGTTTTTAACGTCGTACAGCAATATAAATGGCACCATCGTGTTCCTGAGCTCAAACTGCATCTGATAGGCACCTTTTTCGTTGAAAAATTTCATTTTCAAAATTTGACCTTTTCTGACCTGAAAGTGACCTGACCTCCGGTAATTTCAGCTGACAATGACCTCAAATGACACAGACGACACTATTTTCGAAATCTACGAGTAAAATGGACCATAAAACAAGCGTCACGTGACCGATACATGATCTACAATTTTCGTGACCTAGGATGACCTGGCCTTGACTTTAAAAATTCGAAGTAAAAGTTCGGTACCCTCAGGGTATTTAAAGCATCCGTCAATGAGTGCGTAAACCAAAAATGAGCCTGATCGGACCGGCGGTCCGGCGGTCAGAGCCTAAATTGTGAACTAACAAAAATGTCGATAATTTTTACTTTGACGTCATCGGTGACCTCGAGGTCAATGAAAATAGTCTTCGCTCAACAGTTTTTCCAGGGCTATCAGACGCCGTTTGAATTATGACGATCGGCCCAGTAGTTTCGGAGATAGGAGGGGGCTCTGGAGAGCCCCCCCCCCCCCTCCAGTCGCGTTATGGAAAATACCCCAGTCATGCGCGGGTTAATCTGGCTGCGAACATAACCTCTGTAACTGCCGTCTAACCCGCCCACCTGCTGTGTTACAGGGGCTACGAGGCGCTGAAGACGGTCTATGGCCAGTCGCTCAGCAAGCGGTACGAACGGGAGATCCGGGCGCTGTTCGCTGAGGCGCGCGGCCGCGTCGGGGCCTTCCGCAAAGGTATGTCTGGATAGGTGCTGCGTTTATGGCTCGGAAAATCAATTCATTTTGGAGACACAAAACCTGGATGGTCAGGCTTTTTTCGCTGTTTGTGAGTATTACATCAAATTCGAAATGCATTTAATGTGGTCTATGTTCAAGTTCTCTTGCAGTCTATTACAGTCTCTCTTCTCTTATATTGTTTATGTCGTTGTCCTCTGCTGCATGCTTTTTATGAAAGAAAACAACTGCATTTTCCGACCTCCCTCCTGTCAAGCTTGGGCTCGTCCATTACCATGTACTACATTTATCTCACCTCCCTCCCCTCTCGGCAGACTCTATGGACTCACCCACTCTCCTTCAGTCACTTCACCTCCCTCCCCCGTCCACAGACTCGATGGACTCGCCCAGCGGCAGCACGGCCACGCTGTCGCGGATGTCTGGACAGCTGCGGCAGCTGCAGGCGAAGCCGACAGCTGCGCAGCAGGGCGCCGTTCTGCTGGGGATGGATCGGGACGCGTGGACTAACGTGAGTCACTCTACTGCCGCAGATTAACTCTTGATGAGGATGAAAACGGTAAAACGTAGTTGCTGCTAGTGGAGTACCGGGAACTTTATTGAAATAGTTATCTTACTCTTGAACGAATGCCATTATGACGCCATGAAGCTCATTTCCTCCGCCAAATCACTCGGATCAAATGTTAACCGAAGAAGGTAAGCTAGAGTATGCTCAGCAGCATCGTTGCTATTGTATGTCATGTGCTTAGGCCAGTGCTGGAAATGAGGCCGCTTTCTGGTCCCGGCGTTTTATTCTCCTCGCGGGTTAATCCCGTCCGGCGTTTAGCCTTTCGGGACCCACTCAGGGTCGCGGTTGTTTTCGCCGCTCGCCCCAGTCGAGATGCAAAGTTTATAGTCACACGAAGGTTATTTAGGGCCAGCCAAACCAGTCTGGTCTGGAGTTACTGTTAAATGTATGCATATAGACGAAAGAAAAAGGTTTTGTAGAATCGATTACTTTCGAAGTCGTATATTCAGAGGCCCCAAATAAACTTCGTGCGACTATCAACTTTGCATCTCGAATGGGCCGAGCGGCGAAAACAAGTAACAACCGCGGCTCTGAGAGGGTCCCGAAAGGCTAAGCGCTAGACGGGGCTAACTCACCCGGAGAATAAAACGCCGAGACCAGAAAGCGACCTCATTTCCAGCACTGGCTTAGGCCCATCGACGGGGTTAAAACTATTTCAACTAAGCATCGTTTCGTCGCATTATAAGTGCTGATTTCTCACGTTTAATAATTTTCCAATATTATGGAGGTAATCCACTCGCCTAACATTTTTCATCTTTGGTTCTGATCAAACCGCAAGGGCATTTCTAAAATGATTGTGGCTGACATTGTTCGCTGTTAGCCTGCTGGCTGGCAAAAGGTTTCCTTTGAAAGATGTAGGGCTGAGCAGAACCAAATGCTGTGCCGATCTCAGCAGCAAAGAAGTTCTAAATTTTCCTCAAACCGATTTTAGGAGCCTGTACTCATCCAAATCACCAGAACTTTTATAACTTGGCTCCTTCGAGGGAGCGCTTCGGCACACAGTGGCCGTTAGTAGTCCGCGGCGTGCCGACACTTGTTGCTATGGAAACCTTAAACTGCCGCCAGCTGCTGTCCCCCTGATTGACGCTCCAATACGCGGCGAGATATGTCGCTGGAATTTGGCCGTGCCCGGTCGCTTGGAGACCGCCGTCGGAGTCCTGGCTATTACTCAGATGGTAGTGGCGAAGTTCTGTCACGATTTAGCTCCTTTAAAGCGAAACGTGATGGTGATTAGTTAATTGGGGTCATTGATGAGGTCACTTATCCGTGGTTTTTATGTTTGTGTTTAAAGGATCAAGTGGAGTGATTACAAACAATAGATAACTTTCATGCACACCTTTCATGAGTGCAGCTGAATACAAAAAAAAAAAAACGGATACTTTCGTTGACGCACCTTATTTCTTGTCCAGATATGATTATGCATACCCTGACTTTGCTACGTCAGTAAGCGGTTTTATGTTTCTGGTTTTAATATGAACACATTAATTCTGCTTATTTTAGATATTTTAAATATTAATTTAAAATTGTATTTTGCGTTTGGAGTATTGCTCCTCGAATAATAGGGTTGGGACCTATCTGCATGCTCTGTATGTTTTGGTAAAATAAAAAAGCTCAGAATTTTTAATGATTTAATTTAAAATCACTTTGTTAAAAAAAAAGCCTAGTTAGTTCAGAAATTAATTATTTGTGGCTGAAAACAACTTGCTTCTGATTGGTCGGGCTAATCATGACGTCACATGTAGGTATATAACTGTCTGTATATTTGGCGCAGTTGAGACATACATTTTCTATGTATTTTCCTATGGTAAATCGGAGTGATTGGTCGTGTTTTCAGTGTCTCTTTATTTTGCGCTGGTATTGCGTGGCTAAGAAGTTTTATCAAGAATGGCATATACTAAAATGTTCCTTTAATAATGGAGCTTCAATATCTGTGAGTTTTATTGGCAAGCGAAAACTGATTTCGCTGTTATTTTATCTGGAAATTACTCTTCTTTTAGGTCAATATTCAAAATATTTTACGGGAACAAGTTGGCACTTTTCTTGATTTTTGCACTCAAATCGCGTGCGATTCAACTGTATTGGAACTTGCAAAGAAGCTTGGTGATTAATTAACTGTGTTGTTATGGCACTGTTTGCAAAGCATGGATAATGAAACTCTGCCAAAGACTTAGCTACATAGCAATGCCTCAAGTAATACGCAGGAGGGACAGAATTCAGAGTCCGATCGAGAAGAATCGGTGCAAATGCTACGAAGACCAGGCATCTCTGATACAATAGCTAGTCGTCTCACTACTCTCACTCCATTAGACCAGCTGATTCCTGACAGCACCGACTCGGATGCAAAGATGGAGCTCATCTTCCAAGCCAGAAACCAGTTCTTTGATGGAAGATGTGATGCTGCCTCGTCTCTGCTTTGTTGGCCTCTTTGGACGGGGCGGAGCTCCGCTCCTTGCGTGAGCGGTTATTCGCCTGTCATCCAGAAATAGTTCCTTCGTTTGCTGGCCGTTCCCTGATTAGGTGCAATACGGGGAGCTGTAATCAGGGAAGTAACTTTCCATATGAAAGGGGTGCAGGTGCACCCCCGTCCCCCATCCACTAGAAGTGCACCCCCATAGGCTAAGCGGCGCCCCACACGCCTGACGCCGCCCCACGCGATTAGCTCTAGAGCAGATGGCGAGGGTGATTTCTCGGCTACATTCCATCTCGGCGTCGTGATGCTTGTGGGCTTGGAAAGCGTCCAGTCGTATGTAGGGTAGTGTAGGGGTAGGGTTGAGTTCAATAAGGTCCTTACATTTGAAAGGTTTGAACAACCCGCAATCAGCACAACATAGGTACCACAAGTTAAATAAAAAACTACCAAACTCCGCCCAACTAAAATTAATAAACATTACAGCCAAACTAATGGCCTAAATAAAAATATATCTCAAATCCTAACAGTTATCGCGGGTGATGGCGCCATGAGTTGCTATTATCCAAAACAGATGCAAATAAACATGTTTGTATGTCCTATGTATGTTTGTTTTAAAAACGTTGCAGCGGCGCTGGGAACTGCAGTCTTAGATCTGGGTATGTTTGGCATCTGCAACTCTTCATATACACATTAACCCTATTTCGGACGGGGATACCTTTCAGGATTTTCTTGTACAAATGCCAAACGTCGCGAGACATTCAGCTCATATTTGGTGACTTTTCCTAAATGCTCATTGCGCACATCTCAGCAAAAAAAAAAAAAAAAATGCCGGGTCAGGTCAGGTCAGGTAACCAGAGCGGGTTTGTTGACCCCACCTCAGAAAAGTTTGCAAACACGTCAGAGCTTGAGTTTTTCACGAAGTTATTTCCTCTCATCAAGTCTTCAAAACAGTACCTGCAGTATGTGTCGTTTGTATATCTCAGAATTTTTGATCTGTGACCTGAGGTTAGGTCAGAGTCGTGACCTTTACATTGCAAGCCTATGGAAAAGTATTGAAATGCGACCTGCACCTCGAGTTAACGAGTCAAAACCACCCAATTCTTTAAGAATTATGACAAATTATCTTATCTGTAATGATCCAGGTGCCATTTACTGACAGGGACACCGGAGAGGGTTATCTGAGCCGAGATCATGTGAGGTGATATCTACCATACATCAATGCTCACAATACTTACAATATTGACAATGCTTTTGCTTACAACACTTACAATACTTACGATGAGACCAGCAAGCACTCTGCCGTTACAGTTCTAACTTCTGTTTCGAAAAACGACGTTACACACATTCGCTGCCAGCATAACATGTATTGTTTGACAGTAACAAAATACAATTGACATCTGAACCCCAAACGGACCGCCATCCACTCAAATTTTATAACCCTGACCGGTCAAGGGGCGAATGGAGGTCATTTCCTGGGCATTACACTCAGCCCTTGCACAAAATATCTCACCTCACAGTGATCATTACAACAATAGCACCGACTTGATAGTGGATTTCAAAGCACTTGCATCAGCTCTTCCTGCTATTGCAGACGATCATCTCCTCAGGGTAATGTTGTTCGGGACATGAACGAAGATCGTTTTCGGAGTTTCATAAGTGCTACTGCAACAGCCTGGCACAAAACAGGACTTGTACGCTCTTCTCTGCACTTTGCCCTTCAGTATATCACAAAAGAATTGTTTAGAATCCATCTTACGCTTCTTTCACAGTCTCCCTTGCCACCGTAGGGCGTAGATAGATTGCTGTTGCTGGTAAGTTAACCCGCGCCCGGCTGGGGGTCCTGGATTTCCACGCCCTGCTGGGGGGGGGGGGGGTGTTTGAACACTCCCCCTTGTAACTCGGCTCCTGGGCCACGTAGCGATACGCAGAAGGCGGCGTTCGAAAGAGCGTCAAAAATAATGACGAATTCACTTCGGTCAATTTTTTGGTCAGGTCAAAGGTCAGGTCACCAGAGGTCATTGAAGGCAAAATTTCGCCGATTTCCAGGTCGAATGTCGAAAACTTCCAAGAAGCCAACGCATAACTCGGGAACCAATAGAGCTACAGCGCCGCGGAAAAGCGCATTCGATAGCCCTAATAACACCCTTTCTGAGTAATTCTCTCAGATTTGACCTAACGTCAACTATTTTGCCTGCAGGGGGCAAAAACTGCAAAAATAGTCGATTTTTTCGGAGTTTTTCTGCAATAACTTTTGACCCAAGCCTTGTACGAGCTTACTTTTACCGGCATCGTGTTCCTCTCGTCAAGACGCATCGAATGAACTATAACTTGACCTTGAAAGGTCAACTTGAAAATTTGACCTCAGGTCAAGGTCATGACCTGACCGGAAAGGGTCATGTTGCACATCAGTCGATCCGTATCGTCGAGCTGAACACATCTAAGGCGTTTTCATCGGTCTAGTATGCCTCTATCAAAAGTTATTTGCGAAAAACTGTTAGATACCATTCGTGACCTAAGATGACCTCAGGGCATAAACAAGGGTCACGGACACCATTTTCATGTTCAGTGTGTCTAAACCACTTGTAATTCGGTGTTTGGGAGTGTTTATAATGTCTTTCATCCAAAAGAGGCGCATTTCAATTTTCTCCCATTGACTTATAATGGGGAGGTCGCAAAATTGACCTGACCTTAGGTCATCGATATCAAAATTCTGAGATATACATTTTGTACATGCTATTGCTCTTAGCAATCGCTGAAAGTTTCAAAACGATCGGTCACTCGGTGTAGCTATGACAGACATTGAAACTTTTTATGAGGTGAGGTCACTTCAAGTGACCTGGTGACCTGACCTTGAATGACCTTGGTCTGAAATTTTCACAACATGTGTAGAATTGATGTATGATAAGGTGTACCAAAAACGGCGGCGCTCCGCGCCGCCGTTTTTGAGATATTTGCGAAAAACCGCAAGGGGGGTGTTCAAACACCCCCCCCCCTCAGCAGGGCGCGGGTTAAGGCACGGGAGATAGAAATTACCTCGGTTCTCAACGCCTTAAGTTATTTTCATAAAAAAGAACAAATAAATGATCAATAAGATGACAGGAATGTAAACATTTTAATCGTAAAGTAGTCCAAATATTGGAATGAGCTTTTGCTTTTCAGCATCCTCCGATTCATCATCTTTATCATTTGAAAATTCGAGGTACATAAAATGTTTATCACGCGCTCATGTTAAGTGGGAATATAGTACACGGCAGACACATCAATTTTTGACACTGAACATTTCATCCGTAAATGTTTTAGCATAATTTAAAGTTAAAAACAGCGCGAATGGCAGAGTGAAGCAAACAACATCTTTCACCCATTGATATAACATGTAATCTGTGGTGCTCCAGATGCGCCATTATTTGTCAACCGCAGAAGGTGACATGTGACGTAACAGCATCAAGAGCATCTTTTTTCAAGAACTTTTCAAAACAAGTTTCCTATCTTTCTTCCCCCATTTCTCTCAGCTTATTGATTTTATGAGGCAATGGTATGCACCATAAATTCTGTGAAAATAGTTTGATCATTTTCATGCATTCTTAAAAAATCGAGTTCCCAACCCCATTGGATGTCCTTGCACAATGTACGTATCACATTTTTGTTCCATTGCTCCTTCTGGCTAGTTTGCGATACGCTGACCAGGCTCCTTTGTCGTGTCATTCCTTCAGAAGCGATCTTATGAGGCATCCTTGGATGCTAGCGTCATTGCCTTTTACCATGCTCTAAGCTGTTTCATCTCCAGCAGAGGAAATAATGAGGGATTTGTCCACTGAGGTGTTATTTTCTTTGTTCGTAACAACGCATTATTTTCTTCAGACGCACATTTCTTAGAATTCCGAGCGAGCGACCCACCTAAAAACCCGAACGTCCATCTTATCAGCCGGTGACCTTTGCCGACTGTTACAAAACGCAGAGGCTTACTGGGAAACAATTTTCCAGTAGACAGCACCAGGATCCTACTCACAGTGCTGATTGGCTTGGGCTACGATGCTAGCTATAGATATTGTGAGATTTATACACAAACTGTGAGAAATAAACACCCTTTCATACCGCATTGTCTGCATGGTAAGCTTTCACCCAGACCACCGTCGTAAGCGGGATTCGCTTCCATCGGCGTCTCACACCAAACGCGGTCCTTATAAACGCGGCATCCATGTCTGTTTCTGGATCTAAATCGCGTCATACTGACTGACTCCGTCCCAGAAGTGTTGACCGTACGTATCATCCGTATCACCCATCCGGCTCAGCTCGGCATCGGCTAGCCATTGACCATCTCGTATCCTCTCTTCTCTAGCTGGACAGCTCCGACCGACTCAAGTTTGACGACGTGCTGGAGCAGCTGCTGAAGGGCCTGGAGCCCTCCTGCCTGGAGGAGCAGAACTTCTGCGTCAGCTTCTTCAGGCTCGGCGTGGACATGTCACAGTCTCAGGTTGGTGGTGTGTGATTGTGGCTGAGTCGGGATGGGTAAAAAGCTGCATGCCGGAAGTTCCTGTGCATTTTGATCAAATCAAACGCGTGTTATAACCATGGCTAGGAATGTAATTGTACAACATTTCTTGATGTAGTACTTTTTCTGTCGTCACATTGGTTCTTGTTTTTATTAACCCTCGCCGGCCGAGGGGGGGGGGGCGGGTGCCGCCCCCCCCCATAGGGTTTTTTCGCGATAGCTCCGAACACGCTGGCGATAGAGAGCTGAAACTTGGCATACCTGACCTTTGATCCAAGCCGCATCTTTTGACACCAACCGCATTTTTGGGTCAGGTCAGGTCACTGACCTATGACGTCATAAGTGAACCTCTGCACGGTCTTCAGATGTCGCAACTTCGCAACGCCCTCACTGCCAGAGGAGATGTCACAGGGAAATGAAACTTGCAGGATCTAGTATCCATTATGAGTCTCACAATTTGTATATCTCGGATTTTTCCTAAAGGTCATATGAGGTCAGGTCATTTTCGTGACCTCACCATTATAAGTCAATGGGGAAAAATTCAAACTGCTATTCTGGCGCCGGGAACGATCTCCAACTATCTCAAGCACACAGAATCGTGATTTGATTCACTCCTTGCAAGGTTAGATGCGTCACTTTTGCAATGTTGACCTTCCGTGACGTCATTTATGACGTCATCAAGGTCATATTAGTTTTTCGTCAATAACTCCCGATCAAATTGAGCTAGCGAGTCGAGAAAGCCACCAATGGACTCAGGAAGACCTGCCGGATCGAATGATATGCGACATGACCTCTTTCGACCAACTTCGTGACCTTGGGGTGCTGACCTGACCTTGACCTGAGGTCAACACCCTAAGTTGACCTGACCCGAACAAAAAGTATATCATTCGACGCGCCTGAGCGAGGCGAACACGATGCTGCCAAAATCGCGGCTCTGCGGCCGTTTTTCGCGAAGTTATTCACCAAAAACTGAACCGTACCCTGGGGCACTTGACCTGACCTCAGAGGTCACCGGTTGACCTAGGACCTTAAAATCGGGTACCAATCTCTGCGTCTCGTAACGGCGCACACGCTCGTTTTTTCCGCGACGCGCTAGCTCCACCAGGGGCGAAACGGCGAGGGGGGGGGGGGTCGTACCCGCCCCCCCCCCCCCCCTCGGCCGGCGCGTATGTAGAAAACCAATAGGTCCGGCGAGGGTTAACGCCTTCAGAATTGCCGGCTCATATTTGTCAGATATCATATTTGAATTAGTAGTCGCGATGCGACATTCCTATGTCGATTTGGACATCGCCGACATCGTCAGTGCTCTGAGATGACGGCTGCTTGACAAGAAATCATTGAATTCGCGCCCACTGGGAATGCTCTGAGATATGGCGGCGTCGGGCCGGAATTTCCATTCCAGATTGGCAGACTGGTGGTAAAACGGACGGAAAATGATGGAAATGTTTTGCCATTTTGTCGTGGGATTAGTGTTTCTTCTGCGTTCAGTTCAAATAATGTTGAAAATAATTTATTTATTTTTTATTTTTATTTATTTACCAGAATCACCAACAGGGACAAGCCCCACTGACAGGCGAAGTCAACATAAAAACAGTTAAACAGTATAAGACACATTGTAAACATCATACCTGTCGCATCACAGCTCGCAGTTCCCAACTATTTTATAAAATGAAAATTAAGATAAAGGTGTGCTAAAATACATGATGCATAAAAGAATCATCAAAAGATGCATATTAAAGTGCAAATGAAGCACGAGGGGGTAATAATAAACATCAGCAGAATGATGAGAAATTAAGAATACACATAAAAAGTAAATAAACACAATAAAAGTGAAGTAAAACAAAACAAAAGTGAGATCGGTGAGCAAAAAACTACACGTTTAAAACGTATGCGGTGACACGAGTTTTAAAAGCGCGTAAACTGTCATTAAATATGTCCGCCTCTGGATTGGTGGACAAAAAGTGTTGATTGCCTTCGGGATCCTGCAATACATGCCCGACTGCACTGCCATCACACGAGCGCGGGGCACAGCAAAAAGAGTGTTGGTGCGGGTCGATCGAGGTGGCACATGGAGAGGAAATGCATTCACAAGGATGGCGGAGCTGATTCTCCCATGAAAGATGTTCCTCAGGAAAAGGATATCGTGCTGGATCCTGCGTTGTGCCAGAGAAGGGATTTGAAAATGGAGTAATAGGCTGCTGTAGGAGAGAGACGGAAAGGAACCAGAGGATGTGTTCGCCAGCAGCCAGATGAGGAATTTGTGCTGAACTCGATCGACCCGCACCACGTGGGACTTTGCCGCCCCCGCCCAGACCGTACTGCAATATTCTAAAATGGAGCGCACGTTTGAGAAGTATGCGGCTAACACTGCGCTGCGGTTGAATTTTGCCTTGCCGAAGCCGACTTGAAAAGAACGAATGAGGAGGCCGAGCGCACGATTGGCCTTGCGAACAATGTCTGATATATGCGGCGCGAACGTTAATTTGGTGTCGAGGGTCACCCCTAAGTCCCTGATCTCGCTCACATGTTCTAGTTCCGCATCGGCTATAAAATATTTGGTCTGGACGGGGGCACGCTTGAGGGTCATCGTGAATGATTTGCACTTTTTTGGATTTAGAGTAAGTCCCCATCTGACGGACCAGGCTGACAGCTGATTGAGGTCGTTCTGCAGCAATAGTCCGTCAGCTGGGGAGTTGATAATGCTGCTTCTTGAAGTCGCAATGATGCTTAGTTTCTATTCGGTTAATTTGATTGAAGCGATCTTTAATTGGTTATTCAACTTTTCATTTCCTCGAAAGGTCTCGAAATGCGTAGAAGAAAGGGCAGGTTACAGTATCCGTAATACAGCTTTTTATATCCCCATTTGCGTGGTGTTACCTACTGTTCATGTCGACCGATGACTTAATCGAATAACGAAATACAAATTATTTTAATTCTTTGCTTATATGGAACCAGTCAGGGATTAACTAGTGTACAAATTTAACTTCATAAATATTATATATTTCCCCTATACCCTGCTAACTCGAAGAACCCGCTGGTCGAACCCCCGAACCGATTCCAGTGGCGAGCCTCGGATCAATGGCTGGCATTACAGCCTGGAACTGATACGGCTCTCGGGGACCATGGCTCTGGCGGTGGCCGGTGAATACCCTGGACTGGGACATAATGGCCAATGCCTCCCTCCCCGGTCGGTAATTGACCCGACCAGTACCGAGAGCAAGTGATATTCATAGCGCGCGGGATGCTTGGCGCTCACCCTTTACCGAGGCTGTTGATATTAACGTAATACGCCGGGGATTTTTCTCGGAAGCTAGTCTGGAACGTCTGACCTGTCTGTCTCATGAGAAACAAAATAGTTAATATAAACTGACTCAGCCGTCGGGGCTAGGTCACTTTTGACCTTACCACGTGACCTTTCAGCTTATTTTCCCAGATTTTACTCGAGAGACTGACTTATCAAGCACAGCGGAAACGTCAGCACGTGACATTCATATTGAGAATGTGCTATTATACTGCCTTCCTTCTCCAAATAATCCTGGCGTACCCGGACCGGGTGTGACCTGATGCGATGCTCGATATGTCATTAGACCCATGGCGCGAATTTCATGCCTCGTGATGCAAAATGGCCAACCCGACCCAACTCTAGTTATCTCTGTTCTTAATCTATTGTGCCCTGAACAGAGCCGATTTGACCCGACCTGCCCGGTTTGACCTGAGCTGACCTTACCCGAACCGTGCTGACCCGAGCCCGACTTGACCCAACTCGACCCGGCCTGATCTGTCTTCGGGTGGAGACATGCTGACCTGTGACATGTTCCAGTGACCCGACCTGCCGACTACCCACAGAACTCTCAGCTGGACCGAGACACATTCGTTTGACCTAACCCACCGGCTATCCATAAAGCTCCAGGCAGCTGGACAATAGTCTGACCCAACCTGCCGACTACCCACAGAGCTACTTGCAGCTAGACTGAGACACATTCATTTGACCCAACCCACCGGCTACCCACAGAACTCCTCCCAGCTAGACTGAGACACAGTTTGACCCGACCTGCCGGCTACCCACAGAACTCCTCGCAGCTGGACTGTGACACAATAGTCTGACTCGACCTGTCGGCCACCCACAGAACTCCTCCTAGCTAAGACTGAGACACATTAGTCTGATCCAACCTGCCGGCTACCCACAGAACTCCTCACAGCTAGACTGAGACACATTAGTCTGACCCAACCCACCGGCCACCCACAGAACTCCTCACAGCTGGACTGTGACACATTAGTCTGACACAACCCACCGGCTACTCACAGAACTGCCGCTAGAGACATATAAGTCTGACCCAACCCACCGGTCATCCAAAGAACTCCTCGCAGCTGGACATTAGTCTGACCCAACCTGTCGGCTACTCACAGAACTCCTCCCAGCTAGACTGAGACACATTAGTCTGACCCAACCCACCTGCTGCCCACAGAACTCCTCACAGCTGGACTCGCTGTCTGAAGGGGGGATCGGCCGACAGGACGAGGTGCGATCGCTGATGAAGGAACTGTTCGGCGCACTGGAGACCGAGCTCAACTCGTTCCTGGCCCAGCACGAGCGGATCGACAGCTTGTGAGTGACGATGGGCGGGGGCATCTCTTCACTTATGAATTTTTATTTTTTTGTACCTACATATTTCATAATATTACACCTGTTTATCGTTGAAGAAAACTTCACTCAATATTGAGCAAAAGCAACGTCATTCGTTTATATTTCGGAACTTGCAGTAAAGCTGAATGAATCACTTTATTGTCTACTTCTGAAAACTTTTCTGATCCAAATGTCGCCAATTCGTCAAAGCTGTCTCTTGAGTTCTATTTTGAGTTTCAGCTTCACAGCATAATTGACTCATGAATCATGCTTGACTCTCCATGGGGTCATTGGCCGTAATCATTTCGCGTTACTCAGTCTGTCTGGCACTGGTGTGTCAGCTGGAGGTAGTTTGTGATATAGTTGGATATCCCACGTCAATCTTAAATTGTGAAATTCAAATGTCAGGTTTTGCTCCGGAACCGTACGCACAAAACCTTTGGCCGCTGAAATGCCAGGCGGCTTTTATCGCCGGCTTAAAATACATAGAAAATCTTCTTGGGAGCCGGTCCGGCCCCGCGAGCAGCTATCTTTGTGACGCAGCGACGCCGGCCGAGCATTCATGCGACAAATTACGAGACGACGATGGATTCAGCCTTTGCCGCACAAGTGCTCGCTGCCTTTGGATGAAGCCAGCCGACTAGTTGGTGTATATTTACGGAGCTATTTTGGGCTCAAACAGACCTGTAGACGCATGGATTTCAATGCTGAGCTGGGGTCCTATCTGATAAATGTCCTTGGAATGGGTGTGGCAGCACTGGTTTAAGTTCAGCTGCAGAAAACGACTTAAATGCAAAATTGTGTTTTACACATTTCAGTTCATCGTATATTGACGGTCTCGGGAATGGTTTCGTTGACTCTTCTACGCATTTGCTAACACTGGTATTACTAAATGTTACCAAGTGTCATGAATTATGAATGGCATAAAAAGATTGCGCCCTGCAGGTCCGAGATTCGACTGTTTATTGAGCGACAGAAGTAGGAGTTTGATAGAACCACCGCTCACCCCGTCTCAGACTATTTCATTGATCCAACATTACTACGTTTTGTCGCGTAATGTCGTTATGAGGGCTAGGTTATCGCCAGACTCTTGTTAAGTGTTTTGTTATGGGATCATTCTAGAAAAGTTTGTATGGGTGCTGCCGCCGTTTTGTGCTGTTCTATACCTTATTCACATAAGTGGTTGGGATAAGTGAGGTTCAGTTAAACATAAAATATCATATAAAACAGCCATTGTAGCGTTAATATTGTCCGTGCTACCAGAAAATTGTCTACGAATATTCAATCAAGCTGCCTAATCAATGGCGAAAAGTTTTGACGTTGGAATATCAACCCGTTTCTGCTGCCGAAGGTTTCAGTATTTTATCGATATCCCTGCTGCCGGGATGGTAAAATGACAGCGGCCGGGGTGAACCGCTTAAAATCAAATAAAAATTAAATAGTGTTGCAGTTTTAATACTACTGTCGACACTATTAAACCTACGAATGGTCCTTAACAATGAGCTCATGTCTTCTTTCCCGGAAACCATGTCTTATCAACGTAGCACGGTCGTCACATTTGGCCGTTTACATCCATCGCGCACTCATCCAAACAACTGCCGACTGCCGGTTCTGCGCCTGTTTAAAGTTGCAGCTCTAGTGCCTCTCAATTAACGCTCCGATGAGGTGTCGGAGACGACTCGTCGACGTTTTGATGTTCGCTGGCGATAATCAGACTACCATCAATCAATCAATTCATCCGGCCGCCAGCAGCTTTCTTCGCATCGATGCAGGGCGCCACTGCAGCGTTTTGCCTCTCTTCCTGGAAGATGTCATCAGGATGCAACGGATACGCCCCGTCGCGAAAATGGCCACTCCTTGGCGCTTTTTATCTTGCTCTCGGCGGCTTTACGATGCGGCTGTTGCTCAGTTGGCAGCGCTGACCCTTGCGTCAGCACTTGCTGAGCTGATGTCGAGCTCGTCTTGGCTCGGATGTTCTGCTGACTAGGGGTAACAGGTGCTTTTTCAGCTACTTGGCGTCTGTTAATATGATCTTAATGTTCGGATGCGAGAAATTACAAGGCTGCGACGATGGAAGGCGATAATGACCTGCAATTAATTGGACGTAATAAGTGCTCACTAAACCGTTCACATAGCATTAATTGCAGGATTATGTACAGCCCACTTTGCGTCTTCAAACCTCCTTCTCTGCTACCAACTTTTCTCTCCGGACCTAGCATAGGTTTTATCCTATGGTAGGTCCATCTTCAAATACACTGAGGTATTTCCACAAACGTCCCGGCCGCTCCGGCGACCATGAGACACTGTGGAGCGAAGCAGTTATAACTGGACTCTCTCTGGAAGTTAGCTCGGCAACTCAACTCCCCCCTCCTGTGCAGACTCGCTGGTGGCCGTTTTCGGCCTGGATGTCGGTAGTGCGTCAGCTGTAACTGACATTTGGCGAGGGAGTCTGACGCCGACTGCCGCAGTGCAAGCGTTAATGTTGTTCTGAGCTGTCCTGCGCGATATTGCAAGTTACTGTTGTGCTCTTTTGGAAGGGATGAGCTCTAGGTTTTCAGCGCCAGGGGTAACATTTTATCAGTGTTATCAATGCATCTAGGCTACCTATTCTTCAGATGGAATTTTGGCGTAGACTTGTCGATAACCACTTCGCGTAGAGCTGAAGCACGGGCATCCATGGGGTTGCACGTATTCCTTCCAATGTTGACTAAGCGGCGCCATTTTATGGTCATGTCGATAGCTATACTTCCCCTCTTTTACTCTGCCATTCAGCGTGTAACAGACCATTACATGTCAGTTGAGCCCCCATTCCATGTGTCCAAAGCTTTTATTCATGCCCGTTTGCGGTGACATTTTGATATATTACCGACAGTGTCGTTCCGTTTGAGTGAAGTGGTGTTGACAGTGCAGTAACAGCTCCTACCGAGTTCTGTTGCGATGCGGCGGTGTTCCATTCTGCTGCCTGTAAATGAGACTTGTTTCCAGGCAACATATTGGGCGTCATTTCCTGCGGCCACCCGTCAACTGTCCGTTTGGATCTTATTGCGGCTCAAAATATGACAGGTTGTCGCGAATAGGAAATGCTCAGTCGTGGCTGTCACTGTCATATTCAGCAGAAGCGCCGGTTTTAGCAGGCACGCGAAGGGGACAGAGCTTGGTGCTCTGACCTCCCTGGTTCTTAGTTTGATGGTGGTTCACATAGGCGACAACAGCTAAGGAGCTAACTAGAATGAGATCCAACCAAGACTGATAGCTTCTGGACTGGCTCCCGGCTGGCTATTTGTGGCTGACTAAGTGCGCTGTAAATTTCAAATCAGCACCAGAAACGGCTATAGAGCGCTGGCTGGTTCCGGACTGATAACGCAAGCTCGACCATCAATCGAGATGAATGTTGACCGAACGCTGTTAATAATTTTTCAAATAGGTACGCGCATATGGATGGCTGCGTATCACCATGCGCTCGAAGCTCTGTTAAACGCCAATTAATCATGATTCCAATGCTGATGCTGAACTTAATGCTCATCTTTGGCGTTGCCCGCTGGAATGACTTATTGAGTCAACGCACTCTGATCCTTCGACAGGGCTGTGGTAACCGAATTTTCCGGTGTTTCAACTTGGTTACTGCTTTGCCAGGATAAATGCATGCGACTTGTCGTTTGGTTGAGACTACTGACCATTGAACAAGCAAAAGAGTCGTGTCTTAGCAAAACTTAGATAAACGGCGCACCTTAGTGACAAGTACTGGCCATGTGTCGCGCTGAGGGCCACGCTCGTATGGATGGGTCTACTCCACATAGGTCTGATGCCTCTTTAAATTTCCTCGAAAATTATTCGTGGCATTCAACTGCAGTTTATGAACCGCGGGAACCATTGTGAATGTTATTTGTGGGCTCGTAAGAGCGTGGTGTTAGTAGCAATTAACGTGAATATAACAGTGAGGGTGCTTCGCTAGAGTGTCCGCTTATCTCCAAGTTATGGTCATCATAAATGTCCAAATGAGCTTTCATAATGAGTGCGACACTACTTGCAAAACATATTTAGCCTGTGTAATTGTTTAGCGTAATTGCCTTGAACTCTACAGATTGCTTGCACCGTATTAGATTTGTTGCGCGTTTGTTTAGTTTAGAAGGCGATCCAGGTTCAAAATAACGCCTTTTATGTGGTTTAACTCGATTTTCAATGGCGGCGATGCAGAAGTGAACTGATGTGCTTCGTTATTGTACTTACCACGACTCTCATCCCTCTGTTTTTTTTTCAGCTGCGTGATGCACATCCTGGTGCGTCTGTCGGAGCACGTGAGCAGCACGCAGGACTCGGGCTCGTTCCTGCACCAGACCCTGGCCGCCGCGCTGGTGGCCAGTAAACAGAACCTGGACAGGCTGATGCGGGCGCAGATCGACTCGGTACACGCCTGTCCGCCGCCCAAGCGGTCCAAGTGCGGCGTCCTGCCGTTTGTCTCCAACTTTCAGGTGAGAGGGGAGGGGAGAGAGAGGAAGACATGAGACATTTAATGCAGACACACAGAGCAGTAAAAGAACGGTCCTGGCGAAAAGCAGTGATGTTGCAAGGAAGTGATAATCGCTCTAATCGAAAATCGCTGAACTGTCAGTCACTGAAAAAACTCGCTCAAATGATGTTCGCTCAAATGACGCTCGTTAAAGTCGCTTGCACCGGCCTTCAACAGGAGCCGATCTGTAACCCTTGCTCTCCCAGGAGCTGACCTCTGACCCTCTCCCCCAGGAGCTGACGTCTAAAATCTCACCCATTCCTTCCTCAGGAGCTGGCCGCCATCGCCGAGTCTGTGTTCCGTGAGTCGAGCCGGCGGGCCGACCTGGACCGATGGTACGGCCGGCTGATCCGCGCCGTCATCGACCAGGTCTCCGTCACCGGTCAGCAGCACCAGAAGACGCCGCTGGAGGTGGTGCAGATGGAGAACTTCCACCACCTGCACGCGCTCCTGATGCGCCTCAAACTGGCCGGACTGGAGAGTGAGAAGCGCGAGGTGAAACAGAAGTATAATGAGGCGCTCAAGGCGTACGTGACGAGATACTTCGGGCAGCCACTCATCAAACTTAATGTGAGTAGGGGAGCGGAGTTTTGTGTCTTGTGTGTAATTTTGGTTAGATGGTGTAGGCGCTCAGGCTCGGCTATATTTTGGTCTCCTTTTCGGCGCTAGTAACGATTAAAACGGCATTTTGTTGTCGCTGCACCTCAATTTTAGTTTTCTCATTGCTTTGGTATTAGGTCGGAAGGATAAAAACCAAAACATCACAAGTCCGAAACTTAATCAGCTTCTGGCCTCTCAATCCTCTTTTAGTTTGTCGCTCGCTGGGATGCAATGCTGTAATCCTGAAAAATATCCGAAAAGTTACTGATGCAGCAACAATGACGCCCTCCCTCCGGCACCACACCGACGCAAACAAAGCCCGCAGAGACCGAGAGGCTCCCAAGCGGGTCACCCCGAGGGGAGGGGTCTGTGCCACAGCACACACATCTGGCGGCTGGTAGCCTTCCGACAGAGCAAACAATAAAATGGCTCGGAAACGAACCGAGAATCCCGAAGTTGATATAAATAGTGGTTTGAAGTTCAGTCCTGCAACAATTATTTCTTGAAATAAAGAAGTTTTTTCTTTCATTTCTTCTCCATACAACAGCTCGTCTGACGGCTGTATACTCTATTGTAAACTATTGTAAACCGTATTTGATTGGCTTTTATTTATTCCACCAAACCCATGTTGTCTCAGGTTTGTTTCTCAATGTATTGTACCGGTAACAAGTTTTTTTTTTTGTTACGATGCTTTTCATCCTGCATCAAAACTTCTGATTAAATAGTAATTTGTCAATTACGCGTCATCGTTTCATGTTTCATTATTTGATCATTTCGTCACAATAGTCTCTTCTAGAAATTTCCGGCCCGTTCATTGTATTGCGCGTCTAAAGTCTTTTCACCCTTTCTGCTCTGACTGTATTTCATCCAGAGATTACCTAATTCGGCGATCTTTTCAGTGGCGTATTGTGCCGATCCCCATTGCGCAGCCAACATGGCGTCATTTCACGAGACGCAATACCGCCTCCGTTCTCCGCTCTGCTCATTTTGCAAAGCTAATTTTCTCCATTGGGAAGCCGCATAACTCGTGACAAGAGTTGTTTGCACCGCCAATTTAATTTGTCCATGCCGCAGGCCGACCGTGGCTTCTGATTGGTTCGTTTCGAACACGTGCGTGGTTCCGATTGGTTCATTTGTTCGGAGGCTGCCACGAAGCCCGATTTAGGTCAATGAGTTGGGTTCTATATCGGGAGGTATCCTACGGTGCGGCGCAATAGCTTCCGATCCAGATTTTTTATTTGGTGTGATTTGCAGTGATTGATGTCGCTGTCATGAATGCGCCGTCGAGTCATCAGTCATCGGCATTGACTAGTTAGATGCTCACATGCCGCTGGCATCGGGCCGAATCAAATCATTCGAAGTCAAACAAAATGATGTGGTTGTAACCACGCTATGTCAAGTTGTGATTGATCCATGATAGCTGTCAAATCTTCCCAACCGTAATAAATGCGCAAACTAGCAATGCATTGCAGTTCCCCATGACCGCGTATTTCTTGGAAACAGCTGAGCTGGACATTGAAACGCCTCCCCCGAGCGCTGTGTGGGCTCCTGACTGCCGGGGTGACTATTAGTCATGCCCATTAGTCATTGACTAAGGTCATATTAGTCATTGATTGTTGTAAGGTGGGCCGTATTATTCAGCCTCCACCCCGCCCTTCCACCTCCCCAGCCGTGATGATTGAGAGGGCCAGACGCCTCTCCCCGGGCCGACGCGTCGGTGTGTTCTCAGAAAACACCCGCCGGGTAAATGACGTCATTAGCCTGTCACATTTGATGCCGTCACACCGGAGAGCGTGTGCGGGCCGAGATTGGTTTCCGGTAGTGTCCGTGACATTTTCGGTAGCAGACTCATCCCCGTGCCTATGTCTATGGGTGTGTGCTTCTGCGTATGGGAGTTCGCTTGTGTTTGTGTGTTTGTGTTTACGGCTAGCTTGTATACGGGGTGCGTTTAGGCTGACTTGTGTTGATGGAAACTGAGAAAGTTGTGCAAACAAGCTTCCCCAGCTGGAGATCAGAGGGACTCGAGTGTCGCCGCTTCGGGGACCCGATCATGAGCTGTTTTCCTTTAGGGAAAATGTTAGTAGAGCTGGTGTTCCACATATCGCAGAACATGGTGTCAATTATTCTGGCAACGTGGTTGATATGGATCACGGGCGTCGCAGCCCCTTTGGCCACAGGCCAGATGCCAGGATGTTTCTTGCTCTGCCAGAATCGCGAGGTCTTATTTATTTAAGGGTGTTGTTTCCTTTCATTGTTGGTGTTCTTATGCTCCGCTGCCTAGTTCCTAGTCCGGTCTTTTATCATTTTATAACAACTTTGGTGCTGATTCGTAATACGGACTCACGAAACTTTCTCATGCATTTCTAACAAAGCACGTCGACTTCTTTGTTCTATATGCAGTGAACAATGAGTATCTATAGCGATATTCTTGTCCCGCACAGATATATTCTTGTCTTGTGTCCGAATCTGCAACATTTCCTCTCTGGTATCGCTTCGTTGCGGTTTACGAATGTGCACCTCTACTCACCGTGCCGTGTTTCCTCTGTTCCCACAGCAATTTTTCGGCGGCGTGCAGTCCAAGGTGGCGCAGGGGGTGCGCGAGGCCGAGATGGGCTACCAGCACGCCTTCAGCAAGCAGGAGCTGCGGAAAGTCATCAAGGAGTACCCGGGGAAGGAGGTGAAGAAGGGGCTGGACACGCTGTACAAGAAGGTGGAGAAACACCTCTGTGAAGAGGAGAACCTGCTTCAGGTGAGAGTCAATGGTGACTTCTGATTGACAAAGGCTAGTGGTTTGTGTTTTGTATTATTATTTTTAGCTTGAATGGTTCTACTGTTGATGATACAGCAAAGTATGAGAGTGGTACCGTGTTTTATTTGACGTTTGGCATGATTTGCAAAAGCCTCCATTTTCGCTATCACTGAATGTTCACTAATGGCTTTAACCCTATTCCTGGCGGGCTCCGCCGGGACAAGAAACTGGCGGGGGGGGGGCCGATTCGGCCCCCCTTCAGATCTCAAAAACTACACATCGCAGCGACAAACGGTAAACGGCATCGGATACGCACGGTCAAGATCTACAATTTTTAATCAGGTCATTTTCAGGTCAGGTCAAAGATGACGTCACAGGGGTCGAAAAAGTCAAAATGGCGGCGCTAGATATGGAGAGTTTTTCTCGAATAACTTTGGAATTAGCCAAGATAGGAACAAACTAAGGGCATCATCGTGATCCTCTCGTCAATCCGCATCGATGTTGACCTCGAAAGGTCAAGGTCAAAGGTTGACCTCAGGTCACGTGACCTCGAGGTCATCATGTATATCATTCGATGCGTCTTGACGAGCTGAACACAATGAGACCATCCACGCGTCTGTATCTTGTTCCTGTACGGAGTTATTGGCCAAAAGCCTTTGGTGACCTTTGATGACGTCACATGACCTCACAGCTGCCCAACAGCAAAACAGACCTCAAGGTAGTGAAGGTTGATCGTATATGAAGTCATGTATGGTATATGGGGCCATTCCGACCCGTTTTAGTGGTAAAAATAGGGAGTTGATTTTTCCCCCATTGACTTATAATGGGGAGGTCGCGAAACTGACCTGACCTTAGGTCACCGATATCAAAATTCCGAGATATAAAAAATTGCACATACTGGTACCCTAACTAAAGCCTGAAGAGAAGAAATTGATCGGTCAAAAACTCTAGCTCTGGCGTGATTGCAAACTTTTCTGAGGTAGGGTCACCAAACCGCCTCTGGTGACCTGACCTGAGGTCAGATCAACTCAAAATTTTCAGACATGTTGCGTAGAAGCCTTTTAGGAAAAGTCAGAAAATTTGAGCTTCCTAGCTCAACGCGTTTGGGAGAAATAGCCAAAAAACCTCAGGGGGGGCTCCTGAGGCCCCCCCCCCCCCGCCAGGAATAGGGTTAAGCCTGATCTGTTTCCTCTAACGTTATAATATGCCAGTCCGGTGGCAAAGTACGGTATATGGACTTAGTCAGCTGCAGCGCTAATGGCCTGAGGGCTGGGCAGCGCGCTTTATGGCTACATGACCACACCATCGTATATCGTATTAATGTGCCCGGAGCCACTGGCTCCGGTAAAGTCCGGTAATGGTGGGTGATAAACGTGTCCTTGTTTTAGATAGACAGGGGCGGCACAGCGGGTCCCGGGTTCCAGGTAATGGCACATGTAAGGGCGTTATTGATTTGAAAAGTTTGATGAATAAATGAAATCCATAGTGTGCATAATGCATATGACAAGGCGCCTAAGGGCATAATGCTCGAATATTTTCTGCTGACTCTTTTCTTAACGAGGCAACTGCTGTTGCGAATATGATTTACGCGTTTAGTGTAGGTTGAAGATTATAGGACGACTGTTATAAAGGACAAATGGAGCGCATTAATAAGTTTGGCTCATACTTTTGTTTATCGAGCACGATTGTTATAATCTGCCCTCCTGCACAGATTTGTACTAATTTGATTCATTGCACCACTCACAAATGACTGATATCCCACTTTTCGGCCGCATCAAGCTATCTGTTCTCAAGTATGCGGCACTTGAGGATTGTGTGCACTCGCGCTAGGCAGGCTGAGTCGCCTGCCTGTTTGTGGACACTTAGAAGTGCTTTCACGATGCTCTCTACGCGGTACATCGAGTAACATTGATTGAAGTCCGTTTAGAATGTCATTGTTGATAGTGCAATGACTGCTGGTCTAAATGTAAAATCTGCTTTGCTGGTCTCGATAAGACAGCGGCGTCCGATGTAGCTGAATGATTGGTCGTGCGCTCGTGCGGTGTTTTCAATCAAAGCGGTTCTGGAACGGTAGCAAAGGGACGACAAAGAAGCGGGTTTTGCGGGATCAGACCCCTACGTAATAAAAAACTTTCGTCTCACTCGGATTGGTCTCGGACTCGGAAGACTCGGGTTTGTCCCATTTTATTATGTTGATATTTAAACTGAGTCCATCCTTATATGGACATCGGTGATATTCGGTATGATGTGACAGTGTATCAAATAATAAAGTTAAATTTTCATCGGTAGTAAGTGTAACAAATCTTGAAATCTTCATCCGTTTTTTCTTAAAAAGTATGATGCCGCTCCCTACCCCGACTTGGGACTCTTGTACCGTCGCTCGGTCGCCGTCACATCCTGTTCACATCTGAGCTCCGAGTCTCTCGGTTCTGGGAAAACACTCTGAACGTTAGCCAACCGCGCGTCGGCCAATGTCAACCGGACACCGCCTCTGCCGACGACAGGCGAGACCGTCTTCGTCACAGGTCCGCTCCGCCCTGAATCGCTTCGCTCCTCCCCAGTCCGTGTCAGTGCGCTTCGATTCGCCCCGGCGCATGTCAGTCTGTTTCGCTCAGGTCAGCTGGCCGTCTGGCTTGGTGATTGGTTGGCCATCTGTCTGTCTGTTTGGTCCCGCTGCCGCTGTACTACGCGAAACATTTGACATGACCATCGACAAGACCATTTTGTGCACTTATCTGTGTAGATCACAATTTCCTCCAAAATGATTCACGCTTCACCCCCTCCCATTATTGTTCTACCAATGTCGTCTACCAGTTAAGTTCTACCAAAGTTCTACCAAAGTTCTACCAATACCTTTTCCGTTGCACATCGATTTGCGCTGATTATCTGTCTAATTACGTTCGTTGTCCGTATATCTGACCATGCGACTCTGATCGAAATGGGGCATGTCGTGCATCCAGTAATATCTGCCCCCCCCCCCCCCCCGTCTCATGGCGGTGACCTGCCCGGCGCCTTGGCTGTTTTTTTTTTTTTTTTTGTTACATACATCTACCAGTCGGCGCAGCTGACGTAGAGGTCCCCTCCGCTCGTTGCTAATGTCCCCTGTCTTGCCGTAGGTCAGGGGGCTTCCAGGGGAGGCTTTCAAGAGCCCGAGAGGCGCTGATCACTCGTGACGTGATACTCGTGATTTGGGCAGACGTGGGATGGCTAGTTTGGATAGGTTCCCCGCGGAAAAGGTCGAAGGGAAATGACTTCAAACAAGTTGGCGATGAATTGGACATCAGAGGCGGTCGGTGGGCGGTGACGCTGATGATAACTGGCGGGAGAAAATGAACTTTGTGTCGGTAGATTCTAGATTTACGTTATTTGTTTCCGACTTTTCCCCGCTTAATATCCTTTCAGGCAGTGTGACTAAAGCTCGCATATGGCTCTTCGAGCTAGATTGGTTCAGTGGTTGAAAAAAAAACACATAATCAGCAGTAGGATGTATCATCATTAGATGTTTGGTGGCATATTTGTTGCATTCATTAAACATTCGTGAATGTAAAAAATGTCATGCAAACGCCGTGAATGTATACACATTAGCCTCGTTTCTAAACTGCCATTAGCTAGCCTCCGTCAACTGTTGTCAATGCCATGCGTAATGACGTTTGAGGTAAATATTGTCACGGCCCGTGCCAAGTCAGTCGACCGGCCCGCCCCAGTCATCAGCGCCTCTGAACGCTGGCGTTCCGTCAGAGCTGCCCCCCCCCCCCCAGGGGAAAGGGGGGGGGGGGTGTCGGGCACGCGACTTGGCCGGCCGACTGGCCACCGCGGCGGAGCTAGTCGGACCCGGTGTTGCGCGCTGGCCATCCGAGCATCGCCGTCAACAGTAGGGATGTTTGGGTGAGGGTGATACTAACCAGCTTTGCTGAGGAATGAGTGGGATTGAGAAGCTCGTGTTGCTCATGACTCATGAGACAGAGAATCTTCAAAAGGCTTTGAAGCTCAGCTTTGAGAAGCTAGGCAGTGCGCATAAGAAAGACAATCTCCAACACGCCATGAAATCGACCGATGCCCTCTTGCTTTGAAGCGACGAATGACGACATTGCATTTGATGGCAACATGGTTCGTTTCTACGACAGCAGTAGTAGCGGTGACACTTGACCCATGTAAAGCTGGGGCTGGACCACTGATGGCACCTGCGGTGGGCCAGGTCTCATGGCGGTCGCTGCTGGGGCCGCGTTTGTTGCCATTGGCAGCGAAGCGGCAGGTGGAAGTTTATCAGTCGCGCGATCGGAGCTGTTTACCACCTGGGACACACCGGCCGGCTGAAATTGAATAACAAACGTTTGTGGGCGAGAATGGAGCCCGGACCGGGGAAAATCGTCGATGTCAGTATGTCCCGCGTTCGTCGTATGATTCGCGGGGCTGTGAAATGGCTATGATTCGCGGGGCTGTGAAATGGCGTTCGCATTGACGAATGTACACAAATTGCTTCTTTATTAATACATTTTTATAAAAATGACATTGGCATTTTAAGTAAATAAATGACAAAGGTGTGGAGATAGTAATATTCCTTTAATATATTGTCGCAAAGACCTTTTTATTCCAAACCTCACATCGCAAATTACAACCCCCATACCTACAAAAATATCGTCCTCGGCGTCCGCAACATAAAAAGCAGCCTACCAACTCCTATACGTATTTCAGGCTCAGAACAGCCGCTCACTTTTCCGTGTATGCGGTTCCACAGCTGTTGACCAGCTGTCCTGCGCTGTTCTGTGGGAGGACGTCGCGCTCCAGTTCCGTCGCCGTACCGTCTCCGTCCTTCCTGTCTGCCTGTCAGACGCCGCCAGATTGCTGTCGGGGCGCGGCGCGACCTGTCAGATGGACGGACAGACTCGAGCCGTGGAGCTGAGATCACTGGCGGCATCTGACGCAGCGCTATATAACCTGACGCAGCGTCATGCAACCTGACGCAGCGCCATATAACCTGACGCAGCGTCAGATATCCCGACGCAGCACTAGACATTTTACGAAGACATACATAGGTTCCAAGATGCAGCGTCAGGTGCTGCGACGCATAGTCAGATGACCTGACTGGCCCTGGGGCAGGGAGCAATGTCCTAACGGAGCATTCGATACCCTGACTTAGCTCCATTTTCTCACTGATGATGAAGCAATATAGTAGATGACTTAACGCAGCTCTAGGCTATCTCTGACGCCGTTCCTGCGACTGCTCTTGACGGAAAGAGAGGTGCCCTAACGTAACACCAGACGTCGCCTGCCCGCCGCTCCGAGCGTGTCAGTGAGCTATTTTGCGCGTGCTTCGCGTGGCTGTTGTGCCGACGGAGCCGCCTGTAGAGTACGGTGACGGGGGGGGGAGGGATGGGGTGACGCCCACAGTAGTTGGCTCTTTGTCCCGGGTTTCAGAAGTGTATTGGATGGGATCTTTGTGTGACACATATGGGACAGGACGTTTTTATTTGGAAACGCTGTGGGCTGTCTGGTTTTGCAGCTTTACTCGGTATTTTCTGCCGCAAATGTTTCAGACTCACAAACGGTAAAGAATGAGGAATTGCAATTTAATTAGTGCAGTGGTAAGCAACTGTGCAAAATATACACTTTTCATTCCTCTCTAATCCCTAGCGTGTCTGTCGTCCTTTCCCTCTCCACTGCGCTCAGTCTCCTTTTCCTCTCACCCCTCCCCTGTCTTTGACCTCTGACCCCGCCTCTGACCTCTGCCCTCCTCTGACCCCGCCTCTGACCCCACCTCTGACCTCTGACCCCGCCTCTCTTTACAGGTGGTGTGGCGAGCGATGCAGGAGGAGTTCATCATGCAGTACAAGTCGATAGAGGAGATGATCCAGCGCTGCTACCCAGGCGCCATGATCACACTCGAGTTCACCATCGATGACCTGCTGCGATTCTTCTCCGAGATCGCACGCTCACATTAAGGTGGGCTCGCGTAAAAAAGGTGGGCACGCGTCCGCTGGTGACTCAAGACCATTTGTTTAGTGTCGGTATGGTCTTTCCGAGTCCAGTTATAAACTGCGATGGAGTCTCGCAGAATACTTTGCGAGAGGTGATAGGTGATTGCTTTTTTACAGAGTGACCGGTTTCTCGCGGATGCCGGCGATATGAGAGATTGATTATGTGCGCTGGAGCTCCCGGGTCCCAGCAGTGTGATGAATGATTGATTATCGGGACAGCGGCTCGTTCCGTGCGGTTCCGACGAGACTATTCTCTAGAACGGAACTGAGCGCTCCAAGAAATGTGAAGTGACGTTCGTGGAAATAACACCCTTCTGTGAAGATGGGACAGGGCGTCTTTGTTAAAGGAGCAGGGACCCATGTTGCATTTCGGTGATAATTAAGTGTTGACCTCGTGGCGACTGGTATCGATAGTATGGTTCAATCGTATGCATCGTTTTACGTTTATTTTTTTATTTTCCAGCAACCACACTCCGCAGTCCTTCCCGGTCCGTGTCTCTTCCAGCTGCACTTTGACCTTTCCGCCGCACGCACCCACGGTGATTGCGTCTGGAGGTCTGGCGCTGCCGATGGGAGAAATGATTCGTGTGTGTCCGCGCGGGTCTGTTCTGCGTCTTGTTGTGCGATCACGTGATGAAAGAGGAGCGCGTGGGCACCCGGCAGCGGCTCTTCAGGAGACAGTTGCCCAATGCGCAGTAATCTCCAACCCCCTCTCCCCTCCCCATTCCCCAACCCTCCTCGCCACTTGATCCAGAACTCGTGTTTGGTGATACGTTTTACACCCGGGGCTGAGGGGACAAGCGTTGTTATGCTGACCGGTGCCTCCATTGTGCTTCATCCGGCGGCGATTCTGGGGACTGCTGATGTGACTTCGTATGAAGAAATGTGAATTCCCTTCCAAAGTTCCAAGTGATGTGAGATTGTTGCAATGAACCTTGATTCGTACCTTGGTAGCTTGATGGCTGCCTCGACCTCTCGCAAGGTGTCCTGCCCCTGATAGCTTTTAACCCACCAGCGCTGCCCTGGTGTTTGTGGTTAGAAGTGACTGTTTTTATAAAGAATGTCAGCTGCTTTGCTTCCTGCACCGCTGTATATGACGGCTGTATTCCATTTGTAAACTATGTCATTTATGTTGGTACAGTAAGGAAAAATCATCCTTGTTTCATAGCGAAAGGCATTAGTTATTGTTACCGTTTACAAGTGATTACTTTGTTATCAGTGCCGCTTTCTGCGTGATAGGTTGACATATACCATTACCGCATATCGTTTCTGTAATAAGGCGTTTATGCACTATGTGAGTATGTATGCGTGTAATAGGGCAACCGCGCCTCTGGTATGTGACTGCACGTATTCATTTGCATTGTCAGCTCTTTGATAGCAGGAGTATTGTTATGGAAATATGTATTTATTTCAATAATTACCATATGCTGCTTTTGAGATTTGGTTCAGTGGTGTATCCTCCGGTGATTTTATAAGATCACTTGTACGAGTGTCCGTAATCACGCTCGTACCAGCTCGTAGTTTTGTACGGCAAAACATCACTGTAGCAAGAAGTGAAATTGATTTCCGAGTAACCAGGCGGATGTTACTCTTTGAGTAACATCCGGCAATAATCCGTAAAATAAGCTTCAAAGTGTCTCGTTTAATCTTTACGATAAAGATTTAGTTAATGCGGATATTGGTAATTTTATTGGACAATGGACATTGGTACAGTGTACATATTGATACAGCATGAGCGCGAAAGTAAAACCCGACGAGCGAAGACATTGTGGTAATGTTTCTCCTCCAGCTGATATCCTATACAGAAGTTACAATGAATTATCTTATTTTGGACGGACTGAACCCTGAGCCACCCGACATGCATCGAACTTGGTGTATCTTATGATTTGCTGAACACTATCCAAACGCATATGTGATGTTCCCAGTGTCCCTGGGTAAAATCGATTCTGCTTGAGGAAAGTAGGTGGGGAGTACTTTGAAAAGCCACTAAATTATTACAGAAACAGCGGACGTTATGAATAAGATACACAAGCTTTCGGCTGCCATACTTTGCAACTTGTGCCTTACTGGACTTTGGCCGGCAGCAATCGCTAAGAAAGTCAATTATTCACACTTTGACGTAATCAGTGCTCTGTTATTGGCGTCTACCTTTGTGAGTGGCAGTGCGCCTTCCACAACGCTAAGCCCTCCCCATGACAGGTAGAAACTAGGATTGTTTTGATTTATATGATCGACCAAGCTGTTATTATGGTTAGCGGCTCACCTGGTAGTTGTATTCCCACTACAGAGTTGAAAAGGGATGGTAGAGGCGTTTGCCAGTTAATCGGCGTTTAAATCACGTCATACGCGTGTACTGTGAGCCTTGCATAGCTTGACCTCAAAATGGTAGTGAATGAATAACCTGCATGGATTATTTGCAGAGTTATGCTGATTGTTGAGTGTTGTAATGTGTCATATGTGCTACGCTTGTGTTCTTTGTTGGAGGTTACGCGAAAGAGTGATCGTGGTCATTACGAGAAGCGTGGCACTTGCATATTCCATTAATATTGCACGATTTTGTACAGTTTACATGAGACTTGGAGCACCCAACGAAGGTGAAATGCGGGAGGGGAGGGGGTCATAGGAATCGCTCATAAAACTGCCTGCACTACTTGGCTTTATGTCCGCGATCAAATTATAAATAGGCTCCCGTAACTCCATAGCAGCCAAGAATAGTAGCGGGCGACAAATTCTTGAGATACCCTGTCGCTCTGGATGTATAAGATAGCCAGCAAGAGCCTCGGAGAGAGCTATTTTTAGCATGCGTGATCCGCAGCTTCAAGTCAAACTTTGCTAATATGGCTTTACTTTGGCTATCCTAATCAAAAGCATCAATGTGAAAAGTTTGGTACGAGTCAATGTGGGCAAAATTAGCCGCACATGCTGGAGATGGGTCAGTGCGCCTAGCCATACACCGTTTCTCTGGAAATATTCGTAAAAGTTACATGACGTGCAAATGATAAATGTGCGATATAGCCTTTGGTCCGTGATCTCGTCGACGGCGTATTTTCGTCTTACATAATGCATAACCAGACATTGGGTGTATATTGATGCTTTCATAACTATAAAAAAATCTATCCACCCATTACGCTTAATTTCCCAGTTCCGATATATGTCTTCATTATCGAGAAGGGAGGTAACACAAACACCATTCCAGAGCTTTCATGGGATTGGTGGCGTTCTACGTCGTCGTTATCGTCGATCAGGTGACCGCGGGACCATCAGTGGCGTCGTCGGGCCGGATCTGGGGGCGTGGGGCCAACCCAAACAGTTTTCCGACCCCGGGGTCACCAGAGTTGGTGTCGGCCGCGTCACCAGAAACCCACTTCCGGCGGACAAGTCGCGTGCCGTCGCGTGAGATCTGGGTTGTAAGGTGTCCTGGGCCGTCCCAACATAGCAGGCGACAGGGTGTGGGTCATGAAGGGTCAACGGCGCCATTGGGGATGGATGAGTCTAGGATGAAAGGGTTCACGACGCAGTTTTACTGGCCTAGTTAGGGAACTCATTGGTCGCTGTGTTGCTGAAAGTTATAAGTTTCAGCTGCAGCCCATGAATACGAAGCTACCGCATCAGCGCTAGCTCATGTTAGCTTCACATGTGTTTAACTCAGATTGTACAGCCCTCAGCAGACTGCGTGGTAGGTATTCTTTTTTTCGACAAAACCGGTAATAACTCAAATATTATGTTATCAGTCAGTAGGAACTCACTGCAAGTAGAGGCGCCATGCTCCACTCCTTCGATTGGGTCTATCACTAAACAGAGTAGATGCCTTGTGTGGCAATAAAATGCAAAAGTTTGTTTTTGGGGGAAATATAAACTCTTGGATTTTGTTGCCAAACTGGATGGAAAATGAGTACGATGGTAATGCCAATCCAAGGTGCGGAGTCTCCCGAGTCTTGCTGTTACGATTTCCGAGTGACCGTGTCATGAATATCATGAATAGCATAGTATCCGCGTTATTCTCAGTTTTGTCGAAAAAAGAACACCTGCCACGCAGTTTGCAGAGGGCTGTACATACTTTGTAATAGCACCGCTGGTAAATACATGGGTGATAGTTAAACACTGGCCTCCCCCTCCCCTCCCCCTCCCCTGGATCAGGTCAATACACAGCGGTAGGGCCTTCTTCAAAATTGCTGTGTAAGGTTATGATTGTGTTTGATTGGGTGCTACTCGTAGTAGAAAAATCCTGGCAGCACTTGCAGACTATTCACCAAATAGCGGTCCATGGCGATCCTCCGACACACAGACGCACTGAACATTTATACAAGAGCATCACGTCAACAATCATTCATCTCATTGGTTAGGTACTGGTTACCCACACATCATTCTTCCCGGTACTCGCACAATGCCTCGGGCAGCCCCTTCAGTCATCCACTGATGATATTCACTCTGCAGTCACACCATATGACTGTGACTCATCCACGCTCACATGATCGCCCACTATAGTTCATTTACCGTCACCGTCATGCCTCATGCTAGATAATCTTCTACCGCGCGTTTAGCTTTGTCCATCCCAAGTCACCTCAACATGTTGCCGGTATGGGTGAGCTATTCATCATCGAACTTCGACATGCTCACAGTAGCCATGGGTAGCGAGTGCTCCAGGCGAGGACTAATTTGGAAATCTAGGTCCTATTCAGTCGTAGAAGTTAGTTGTGAATCTCATTTTCGCTGCGCTGCTTATCAGAAAACCATACGCTTTTTCAGTCAGAGCGGTTCATTGCTCAATAAAGCATGGCTCCTCAGGCCCTACTTCGATTTTCAATTCCCGAATTGTAGCCAGACAGCTGAATTGGTTCGAATCCCAATTAGATATGGTAGCATGATCAGTTAAAACAGGAAATGTGAATTATGAACGCATGAATCAAAAGCCGAATTGGCGCTGGCTTTGTCGCGTTAAGGCTGCTAAAGTCAGCTTCCGTCTCAAATGACCCCTTGAACATGAGGTCCATGCTGAGGGCGCCTACCTGCTGGATCGTTGTTCCTTGAATGGACATCGTTAGTTACCCGTGACAGGTCAGGTGTTTAGCCTCACATGGCAAGATCCCACGGTCCTCACTCTGCAGTTTATTACGTCTAACAAAATGTTTGTCTTGCTAACAGAGTATGAGCTTGTTAGAACCGGAGCCGCTTCATTGCGTCAGGCCGACTGGAGCTTATTCGCCTTGTTGAAAACTAACTACTCATGAACTTTCAACTTGTGATGTGTATGAATTGTGCTTTCCTTCTGCGTCGTATCAAAAGTTATCCCGCGAGTTGCTGGGGGGGGGGGCGTTAAACGCCCCCACTTTTTTCGCCGGGCCATAGCATAAAAACGGCGCGCCAAATTTTGGGTACCTGTAGGGAATTAATTGAAGGTTATTGTGACAAAGTTTCAAAAAAATCGGTCGGAAAATTTTTGAGATATCGAGGTTTTAGTGACGTCATGATTTCTGAGTTTTCGACCAAAAACGGCATATGTTCAAAAAATCATATAAAATCACAGAATAGACATACAGACATGCCGTAAACGCCATTAGACTGCCAATACCATGAACAATCAAATGGCTATCTTCGATTATTGATTAGCGTTCCGCATTTTCCAACATCTTGAACTGAATCTTGACAATTTCTCGTGACTACTTCACGGCCATGATACATGCATTTCTTAAATTTTAACTTTTTGAGCCAAACACGTACACATATGATAAAATGAATGTCACCATCGTGTTCTACGCCCCAAAATACCCATTAAACATGTGTCACAGGCTGCAAATATCAGTTTTGATTTTCAGGGATATGTGCCTACCCGGTTGACCTGACCTTGACCTGACCTATGCTTGACTGACCCCTACATGGAGCTGACACTCTTGTAGACCTTATATGATGGATTGTGCACCGTTTTGACAGAGTTAATGACGAGAGGCGCCCATTGCGAAGTCCTGAAGTCAATGCTACTGAAAGCCCGATTTCAGGTGTTTGACCTGACCTTGACCCGACCTGTGACCTCAAAATTCAACTTTAAAGTACTCATCTGAAGCGTCTCGTCGCGTTCTTTCGTTTGCCGCCTCGTGCGTTTCGCTGCGCCTATTGGTTCTCGAGTTATCGGCTGGGGGCGTTTAACGCCCCCCCCCCCCCCCCCAGCAAACGGCGGGTGGCGGAATACCCCAGCAACTGCCGGGTTATGGGAAAATGGAAATAGGTAACTGCGCCAGCTGATCGAAGTGATGTTTCGAACTGATGTTACATTTGTTACCTTTAATTATCAATTCCTTCATATCACTCCATATATCACACCTTCATATCACTCCTGTGATATCCTTAATGTGCCATTGTTATCTGTTGAATGGTCGGTATCACTGATCTGTGATCAACCATGTCAGCCCAGCCCCATGTTGACATAGG